GCATGTGACTAGAACCAGGGTCTCTTGATTTCTTTACCAATTTGCCAGTGGGGTTTCATAGATTGGGTTCCCTGGAATGACAAAGAGATTAGTTGGCAGGAAGCTTATTAGGGAATTCTCCTGGAAACAGCACTCATTGAAAGAAAGGGAAGGAAGCAGAATTGGGAAAGAGAAAACTGGGCTCTGATTCTGTGTAATGCAGGTCATAGGTAACCCAGTAAAAGTTCTGAGACTGGGGAAGCCCTTAGGGATTGTCTTGAGTTGGAGAAAAGAGGCCAGGCCTTTTTTAATCCCCATAATCAGTCTTTATTTCCTGCACCTGAGGAGGAGCCATGACCTTGAGCAAGGACATTCTCTTGTTGGGTAAGGCATTTCATAGTGCTAAGGGCCAGAATCCAGCAGCACTTCTAGGAGCTAGTAGAACAAGACCCTCATTCTTTTTTTTATTATTAGAGAGAGGGAGAGGGGAGAGGGAGAGAGGGGAGAGGGGAGAAGGGAGAAGGGGAGGGAAGGCAGAGGGAGAGGGGGCAGGGGGAGGGGGAGGGGGAGGGGGAGAGGAAGAGAGAAACTTCTATCCACTCCATCTTGTAGCTCACTCCCCTAAATGCCCAGGACTGAGCCAGGTTGATGTCAGGCGTCAGAAACTCAACTACTTGAAGCATCACCTGTTAACTCGCAGGGTCTGCCTTGGCAGGAAACTGGAATCAGAAATCAGAGCTGGGTATCAAACCCAGGCACTCTAATATGAGATGCAGACATCTTAACCACTAGGCCCAGTGCTCACTCCAAGAACTTCATTCTTTTTTTTTTTTATAGATGTATATATTTATTTGAAAGTCAGAGTTACACAGAGAGAGGAGAAGCAGAGAGAGAGAGAAGAGAGAGAGAGAGAGAGAGAGAGAGAGGTCTTCCATCTGCTTGTTCACTCCCCAGTTGTCCGCAATGGCCATAGCTGCGCCAATCTGAAGCCAGGAGCCAAAGCTTCTTCTGGGTCTCCCACATGGGTGCAGGGGCCCAAGGACTTTGGCCATCCTCTACTGCTTTCCCAGGCCATATAAAGAGCTGGATCAGAAGTGGAGCAGCTGAGGCCGGCACCGCGGCTTACTAGGCTAATCCTCCACCTGCGGTGCTGGCATTCCGGGTTCTAGTCCTGGTTGGGGCACTGGACTCTGTCCTGGTTGCTCCTCTTCCAGTCCAGCTCTCTGCTGTGGCCCAGGAAGGCAGTGGAGGATGGCCCAAGTGCTTGGGGCCCTGCACCCCATGGGAGACTAGGAGGAAGCACCTGGCTCCTGGCTTCAGATCAGGGCCATTTGTGGGGTGAACCAACGGAAGGAAGACCTTTCTCTCTGTCTCTCTCTTTCTCACTAACTCTGCCTGTCAAAAAAAAAAAAAAAAAGTGGAGCAGCCGGGACTCGAACCAGTGCCCATATGGGATGCTGGTACTGCAAGTGGCAGCTTTACCCGCTACGCTACAGTGCCGGCCTCATAGAACTTCATTCTTAAAGGGGCACCTTGTCAGCATTATCCAGTTTACTGCTTGTGTCACTCATATCCATTTCTTCATATACATATTAGCAATTGATGTTCTAGGATTGCAGTGGGTTTATTCTTCCTGAAGGAATCTTGTTAGAATAATGATAGGATAAACTAGCTCCCTTCTGATACAGCTAATTTCAAGATCTCAAATGATACTCACCATCTCCCTCCTGTCGCTCCCCCTCTTCGTGGAGGAACGACACAGGACCCTGCGCTGTTCTTTCGTCTGCTCGGCCCTCCCCGGGTTGGCTGCCGTCCTTCCACCTCCGTGGAAGGGCGGTTCCCCCTGGCCACTTTCCCCACTTCCCCCACTTCCGCAGGGGAGCGGCACACCGCCGGCCGGCTCTCTCGGGGGCTGCACAGGTGTTCCTTCAGATGTTCCCCTTAGATGTTCCTGGTGCATGTTGTCTCTCTCCTCCTTTATAGTCCTCTTCCGCCAATCCCAACTCGGCTGCCCACACGCCGAGTACGCTGCTCTCCTCCAATCAGGAGCAGGATCAGCTCCTGGAGGTCACTCAAGTTGGCAAGAGGCAGCTACGTAGAAGCTGTTTTCTCCTCTCCCAACGCCATATTGTGGGAGAGCAGATGCATAGAATAAGTCTTAATTCGAGTAATTTAGTCTAGTCCGAGTTGCTCCCAGTTGCTCCCCACACCCTCCTCCAGTGAGTATTCAAATTTCCCTCACCCTCTGTTGGTCTTGGCGGCTTTCCTTGTGGCATACTTCTGAGCCATCCTGAGGCCACCATGCCTACTCTTCACGCCTTAGCTGCCCTTGTCCATTTACCATCAAGCTTAGGCAAGTAGATCACATGCTTTCCAAACATATTTCTACTTCCTCCCAATGTATGTAAGAATCGCTGTTTTTTCCCATGATTAGAGTCATCATGTCCAAGATTGTGACTTTCTGGTAAGCTGGTCATTCAGTCTAAGGAACCTGACATGCCTAAATGATAGCCAAAGTTTACATTACATGCAGAAGTTTTCTGTGTTCTTTGGTGGGAGCATTCTCCTTTTGGGAAACAAAACTTCAAGCCATGAAGATCCCAGAGTTTCACGTGTGAGAAACCCAAATTACCCAGTGGGTTACCTAGAGTGATAATAAGTGGGACCACTCCTGCTTTCATAACAGTTCCAGCCGGTGCTGCGGCTCACTAGGCTAATCATCTGCCTGCGGTGCCGGCACTCCAGGTTCTAGTCCCAGTTAGGGCGCTGGTTCTGTCGTGGTTGCTCCTCTTCCAGTACAGCTCTCTGCAGTGGCCCGGGAGTGCAGTGGAGGATGGCCCAGGTCCTTGGGCCCTGCACCTGCATGGGAGACCAAGAGGAAGCACCTGCTCCTGGCTTCGGATTGGCACATCGCGCCAGCCATGGTGATCAATTGGGGAGTGAACCAACGGAAGAAGGACCTTTCTCTCTGTCTCTCTCACTCACTGTCTAACTCCGCCTGAGTTCCTAGACTCATGTATCCAGTCTCTGGGACACTACCTCATATCAAGGTCACTGATTTAGTGTGTGCAGTGAATCTTGGAGCAGGGAGCCCCATATTGACAGCATTATCCCCAGTCTGGCACCTCAGCTGTGTCTTCAACAGACTTCATTGCTCCATCAGGCCAGCATTACTTCCTTTCTTCAAAATGGATCCCACATTAGTAAACCAAACACTGTAAAGTCCTCAGCTGGTGATGCTGGCTGGACTGCCATGGCAGAAAAGCAAAATGTGTCCCGAGAGCATGTGTCTGTTTCTTTTAAAATGAATTATTGCCTCTTCCAGACTGAAAGGTCCAGTGTATTCAACTGGCACCATGCGATGTTTTGATCTCCTGTAGAGATCATACCATTCTGGGGGAATTAATGTGGATCTCTGTTTCTGGCATATCAAATATTTCACTGGACCAGTAACTTGACCTTCCTTGGTAAGTGGAGGCAATCCTATTGAGTCTCTCCTTGACTCTATAGCTATTTCATTCATATGCTCATTGTGCTAGCTCTGGGAAGGTTAATGACAGAAACTGGCCACCACCAACTGACTTAGTGATATTTTGAAGGGGGTTATTTGGGTTCTCTTCCATGGTATGTGCTCTCTGGTAAATGTTGACATTTAGTACTAAGATCTTCAAATTTCATTCTAATCCTTGTCCACCCAAACCTGTCTACCCTAGACCTTCTTTTCCTGTCCTTCCAATTTTTATTCTTACCCCTTTACCTTCCAGTCAAGTCATTGGCCCTGCTCACAAGTCCATGCGCATTCTAACTTCAGGAAATGTTCTTTCCCACACGAAGAGAATGACTACATTCTCTGCCCGTTGAGAGGATTCTCCCTTGCCTCTGTTGTAAATGACTTTTTCTAAGTCAGAGTGTAATGCATCTTGGGTAACCTCTATCCATTTCCACCTTGTACCCACGTACCAAGCCAACCCATCTGCAAACCAAGCTTGGAATTTCCCCCCTCTTCTGTTAATTGGTTATAAGTGATCTCCCTAAATGGTGAAAGGTGTGAGTTGATAATGCTATTGAGTCAATAGCTACTTGCCCCTGTACCCATTAGTCCATTAAGTTTCTGCCATTCTCTTGGAATATGATAGCTTACTAGAGAGTTCTCTGGAAAAGATAATTGTGAAAGGAAAGGAAGCAAAACTGTGCTTAAGGAAACATGGGGCTGTGATGCATCTCATGAATGCCACAGCTGACCCATAGCGGTCTCATCGTCGACTGACTCTGTAGAGTTGGTCTGAGTTTAGACGAGGGGACCGGGTGCTTAGAGTCTTGTGTTGACCCATTATTAGAAGCAGGATATTCCAGGGAAGGGGTATAGTGGTGGTAAAGGCAGTTGTCTTCAACCAAGGCACTTCCAGAAGAGGGCTGACAGTGAGGACTGTCTGACAAATGTCCTTCCACAGCCGGGACACAAGTCCTTCATTCTGGAAGGTGAATGCAGGCAGCATATCATGGATTCCATTACCAAATGAAATATAGGATATCTTATATAATGTATCCTCAAAAGTGGAATCATGTTTTTCGTATCTTATTTTTTAAAACGGAGGCTTTTAGAAGCCTGTCGTATATTTAAATGAAGGATGGCAAAGAAAAGGAAGGGGGTAAAAAAATGGTCCTGCTGTACTCTAATTACAGAAGAGTACCACTAACCATTAGCATATTGAACAGACAACAGAACTCGGAGGAGAATCGTGTTTGTAGACTGATAAATGAGTCTGGAACAAACTATTTCCCACAAACTGCCTAAATGTAGCTCAGGCTATCATAAACGAGTTGCCCCAGGCTGGCTTCCCTGTTTCCACTGAAAAACAAGTGGCACTTCACATTCTGGAACTAATTCCAGCTCTTGCTCAGGAGCTCCAGGTATACTGTGGAACAGAATTCATCCATAATCAGTAATTATGCTCTTCCATTTCTTTTTTTTTTTTTTTGCTCTTCCATTTCAATATTTGATCTTGCACAAGATTTCATGCAAATAAGAGGATGAGTCTGATATACTTGTGCAGTGATAGATTTAATGCATGATGCCATTAAAAAGGTGGGAAGATAAATTTAATCAGAAATTTTAAAACTAGTCTCTTATCTGAGAGGCCTTCTCTGATTTCTTCATTAAAGTAGTACCTCCCTCATCATCCTATGTTTCCTTACATTTTTGTTTCTGCAATTATCACTCTTTGATATATTACATAACAGTATTTATTTTTTGTTATATATTTCCCATACCCATTTGAAATATAATTCATGAGAACAAAAAATTCATTTTCTCTGTTTATTGGAATGTTGCTAACACCTGGCACGTGCTCAATGAATGCTGGCTAAAGGGAAGGACCATTGAGTGTATGAGTCATGTTCTATTTGCTTAATCCATTTGTCTGCTTTTGGAAAATATATCGTTGTTAAAGTTAAGGTAATTAATTAAATTAATAATCAATGGTTTCTTTTAGTGAAAGCAGTACTAAAATTAGTATAAATTTTTCTCCGTAAGAATTTCTGAAGTTTGGGTCAGAAAAGTTACGTATGGGTAATATCTTATTAAGAACTTTCATTTCAGCAACCATTAACATCACGTTTCGTGAACTGATCTGACTTTGTGACACCTGATGCACTTGTACTATAGCATTAATAATCATGGTGGTAGTGATGACAACGACGACGATCTTGTTGGTAGTGGTCCATGTATCAGGTGGTATTCACTGAGCAGATTTTTGTTGGTCATTGTAGGATAGGGGTATTCTCAAAATAGAGGAAGAGAAGGGACTATCCTGGGATGGAATGCAGCCATATCTACTTGCTTACCTGTTTCAACGTCTGCCTGTCAGCACAGTGCAATGTTGCTAGCCAGTGCCAGCAAGCATATAGCTCACTATGTATGGGGAAGAAACGTTAGGTCTATTAAAGGAAACTAGTTGAACCTTATCAGTAACTGTGTACACAGGCACAATCTTATATCTATTCCTATAGCTTCTATGTAGCCTTAGAATACCCAGTCAAATGTACTTAACCTGAGAAGGGGGGCAAAGAAGCTAAAAGATATTTAACTGACGTCTCTCTTTGTTCAGAGCTCAGTCTTTAGAATGTGAATCCAACTGAGCCTCGTGCCAGCATGAATAAAGCAGTTTCCTGCTAAAGCCTCAGCCTCTCCTATTTCTGTTCAAGTTATCCCGCTACAATTGTGTTAAAAGTTTTGCATTCATTAACTTACTACAACTCTTTTAAATACAATTTACCATGTTACTGTAAGGAAACTGAGGACCAGAGAAGTATCTTTGTCTAAAGCCATTTACCTGGCTGGCTGTAGAACCAGCATTTGAATTGGGGTAAGACTTAAGCCAGAGCCTGTGATCCGAACTGCTTTGACAGCCTGAGGCAGTGGTGAGCAGAGAAAAGGGAGAGAGAGGAGATACAACTTGAAGGAAGAGAAAGTCCAAAATTGTGGATGGAGATAGGAGAGAATGTTTGAGGGTGGTCTGGAAACTTGTTGGACACACATGTAACCACAAGGCAGGAAGAAACAGTGAAAGTGCCAGCATGATTGGAAGGTTCATGGAAACAGAGGAGGAGACCCAGGCTTGCGGGCACATGGGTAGGTTATAGATGAGGTTCTATTTCACCTGAGTCTGAGAAGCAGAGGAAGGACAGATCAGAAGTATGCCAGAACATAAATGTTGTTACATAAAGGAAGGTTTGTCATATATCTAAGTGATGTAGTAAGAAGTTACAGTGGTTAATCAGAGCTTATTCTCTAAGTAGGATACTGTGGTATTTCTATATTTACCATCCATCGTAAATACAGATGCTCATTGATTCCTAATGGAATTATATCCCAACAAATCTGTCATTAACTCGAAAATATTAAGTCAAAACTGCATTTAATACACCTGACAAACATCCTATCTTAGTCTAGTGCACAATATGCTCAGAACACTTAACATTAGCCTACAGTCAGGGGGATATCATCTGACACAGTCGATTTTGTAATAATCCATTGAATATCTCCTATAATTTATTGAATGCCGTAATGAAAGGGGAAAACAGAGTGGCTGTATGAGTATTCACCATTTAATGCATGCAGCTGAAAGCACACTGGGCATGAAGAATATTTGAATCATCAAATGAAAATTAGCTGCTGACTGATGAGGATGCTACAGTGACAGGCTCATCAATTTTTCTGTGGATGAAGCTTGAGAATTGCTGGTAGAAGGCACTGGAACATCCACGTTGGTGAATGGTTTAGCAGGCATAGTGTTCTCTGGCAAGATATCACACTTTGTGCAGTTTGTTCTTTTCATTAGACATGTCTCCATCGCAAGCAAGCACGCCCTGTGTCTGCCTGGAACTCTTGGAAATCTCTTCTAATTGACATCCACGTCTTCTTATATGCATATGCCACTGCTGATAGTAACACATGCCTCCACTAGTTTCTCTCCTGTGAATTTTCTTGGTGCCTTGGGTGTAGCTTCTTTCTCTGCCTCAATTTCTTTACTTTCTTCTTCCTCCAGTTTGATCCGCTCTTCACTGGAAGGCTTTTTATCCTCAATGCCAACAAGCTCATGAATATTCTCTTCATAGATATACAGTTCTAGCTGTTTCCCAAGCACTAATATCTTGTTACTTACTGTTTCTTCAACAGCAGAATCTTTGTTAAAGCCTTTGAATATGTTCACATAAATTTGCAAACTTTCTCATAAATGTCATCCATGCATTTCTGTGTGATTCCTCCCCCATGTTGAAGCAGTGTTCCAAATAACATTTAGCATGTGAAAAACTTTCCAAAACTCTCAGAACAGTTAGCCAGATTCAGTTGCTGCAAAAGCTTGTACAGACATTTGGTGTACATAGTAAACTTTGACCTTAACTATTGTGCCTTGGTCCACTGGTTGAATAAGTATGGTTGTGTTCAGCAGCAAACACACAGCTGTTACATCAGGATGTGTGTTGCCAATGTGCCTTGGATACCCTGGAGTGTTATCTGAGATCAGAGGAATCTTGAACAGGGTGTTGTTTTGCCTACAATATTTTCATGCCTGCAGACTAAAATAGTTCAAAAGCAAGTCTTCAAGCGATGCTGATATTACGCAGGCTTTCTTGTTACAGTAATAATCACCAGGAAGCATATGCTTGCTCACTTTCTTGAGTGCTCTAGGATCTCAGAGTGGTAGGTTAGGAAAGGCTTTCATTTGACCCTGAAACAGATTCCTGGCAAGGTCTTGGACTCTTGGTTGATGCATGGCGTTCTGGCGTACACTTCCAGAACAAGATTGCATCATTGACATTCAATATTTATTCTGACAAATATTTCTCATCCACAATTATCCCATGCAGCTTTTCCTGAAGAAGTTTGGCAACTTCAGCATTGCCTTCTCACCCCTGATTTTCACGTTGTAAAAAATGTGATGCTTTTTGAAGTTTTGGAACAACCCATGACTTGCTCTAAACATTTGCATATCCCTGGGATCATCAGTAGGCTTTTTGAGTGTATAAAAAGACTCATTGCCTGAGCCTGGATTGTCAGTAGGCCAAATGATATGCATCTCTGTATCTGGTCTTCCAACCACATGACAAGTATCATCAATCAGTCCAGCCCTTTTCTTCATCATGACAATGGATCTGATGATTTCACTGCATCATTGAGTCACTGCTTATTCTTTAAGACAGTCAAGACAGTCTCTACTGCAAAGATCCTAACTCGTTTGCAATGACCACTCCTGGATGCTCCTTCCATGTGGGCAATCATCTTGAGTTTCATTGCAAGATTAATTGCCTTCCTCTTCTCCCCAGGAGCTAGAGAAACAGATGGGCATTTTGAAGGAATGATGAGATGTGAAAATACAAAACAAAATATCCAAAAAGGCTTGCAACACAGTACACTGGAAACAATTAGCTGTTTACCTTCATGATTACCTGGCTGAAATGGGAGCTGGGGTTCAATGCTTCTGCCCAGCATCCTGAAAGAGTTTTGTATCATTAGCCCAGGAAAAATCTAGATTGAAAATTTGAAATATGGTTTTGTTTTTTACTGAAAATGTATGTTTGTGCACCACCACATAGTCAAAAAACCAAGTTGGGGACCATCTATAGTAGTTTATAGTATATATGTAGTATATATGTATTTCTATAGAGTATTACATATACTGTAAGTAGTATACTACAGTAAATTGGAAAGCTTTTGAAAAACTCATGAGCCTAAAAAAATATTTCTTTCAAGAATTTTGTCAAACTAAAAATTGTGGAATGATAGAAGTAGTTTTTTCCTCCAGCAATTCAGATTCCTTATTCCTATATGCCCTTTCCCTAAATTCATTAATTGTTCACACTTTCCATTTTTGCTTTCTTGATCTCTCTCCCTCATATATATGCAGTAGTCTCTATCTGTGGGTGATTGGTTTCAGGACACCCTATGGCTATCAAAATTTGTGGATGCTCAAGTCCCTAATATAAAATGATATAGTTTGCATGTTTACTGTAAATAATCATAAGAATACTTATGATAATGAATAAAATATAAATGTTATGTAAATAGTGGTTATATGGTATTATTAAGGTTAAAATAGACAAAAGTCTATAGTGTTCATTACAGGCACAATTTTTTTCTGAATATTTTCAATCCTGGGTTGAGTTTGTGGCTTTAATAGTCATGGACACAGCCGGCGCCGCGGCTCACTAGGCTAATCCTCCGCCTAGCGGCGCCAGCACACTGGGTTCTAGTCCCGGTCGGGGCGCCGGATTCTGTCCCGGTTGCCCCTCTTCCAGGCCAGCTCTCTGCTGTGGCCAGGGAGTGCAGTGGAGGATGGCCCAGGTGCTTGGGCCCTGCACCCCATGGGAGACCAGGAAAAACACCTGGCTCCTGGCTCCTGCCATCGGATCAGTGCGGTGCGCCGTCTGCAGCGCGCCAGCCGCGGCGGCCATTGGAGGGTGAGCCAACGGCAAAAGGAAGACCTTTCTCTCTGTCTCTCTCTCTCACTGTCCACTCTGCCTGTCAAAAAAAAAAAAAATAGTCATGGACACAGAAATCCAGCTCCATACCTACATACACACATATATATAACACACATATGTGTACATAGGCATACACACATATGTATAATCATTATTATAGCTAAACATCTAAATCATTTGAGATTAAGTTTCAAACTTAGTGTCTCTTAAAATTTTTATTTATTGTGCAGGCATTTGACACAGCTGTTAAATAAAAATTTACAATAAATAAATCTACACAGCCATAAAAAAGAATGAAATCCTGTATTTTGCAGGATTTTGCAGGCTGAAGCCAGGACCACAGAACTCATTTCAGGTCTCCCTCATGTGTGGCAGGAACTCAACTACTTGAGACATCGCCTTGGACATTCAAGGAATATAACAAGTGTTTTCCATGGGGCTGGCGCTGTGGTGCACTAGGTTAATCCTCCGCCTGCAGCGCCAGCATCCCATGTGGGCGCTGGTTCTAGTCCCGGTTGTTCCTCTTCCAGTCCAGCTCTCTGATGTGGCCTAGGATAGCAGTGGAGGATGGCCCAGGTGCTTGGGCCCCTGCACCTGCATGAGAGACCAGGAAGAAACACCTGTCTCCTGGCTTCGGATCAGCACAGCTCTGTCTGTTTCGGCCTTTTGGGGAGTGAACCAACAGAAGGAAGACCTTTCTCTCTGTGTCTCTCTCTCACTGTCTGTAATTCTATCTGTCAAAAACAAACAAACAAACAAACAAACCTTGGGCTCACATCTCTTTAAAAAAAAAAAAAAAGAGTTTTCCATTTGCAAACTTGAGAGATTGATGCATGAGTCCAGAGATAGAATTGAGGCACAGCATCACAATATCTGCTACAATTGCTATTTTGGTTTTCCCTTGTAAGATCAAATATGTTTCCCTTGTAAGATCAAATATGTAAGATCAAAATGTTAGAATGTATAGGTTCACAGACTGTCAACTCTGAGAGGGACCTCAAATTTCACACATTTTTTGTTGAGACACTTAGCACAAATTCATAGACATCCTAAATGTCACTTCATCAAGGTACCAAAAAATAGTGAAGATATTTCCTATGCTCCAGGTCCTCACACTCTAACCTTCTTAATTGTTTCATAATGAAGCTTACGGGGAAGTGTTCTGGGTGGTCCATGCCTTACTGTGAGTGTGTTAGTGTACCCTGCACCAAATACTGCCTCTGAGACATCCTAGAAGAGGCAACCAGCTACAAACAGATGCTCATTCTGTTTGTTTCTTCTGCCAAGGTAAAACAAAAAGTGAATTTGTTTAATTGGGGAAAACGAAGCTATTGCATAGAAACCAGGAGTTAAGGTGGAAACATCACAGTCACTACCCAGGACAGTTGAAATTAAGCGCTGCCTGGAGGCAGGGAATTGAATCAGTGACCTGGCAATGTCCCCATCAGCTCTTTAACTCTGGAACTGAATTGAGAAAGTATTATTGTTTTTAATTGGTTCGCATTCGACCTTATTAAAAGTTTAAGTGTGTCTTTACTCTAACCTTTTATCCTCTTGACATTTCTTTCCTTGTATTTTATAGGTCCTTTTGTCTTCCTTCATCATAATTTTCCCTTTATACCGTACTCTGTTTCCTTCTGGGGTAAATGGTCTATCTTCTTGCCATTTATTAAAGGGACAACAGCAAAATATTCTTGAGGAGGGAGATTGCCTTTATTACCTGAGTTACTGAGAGACTTATATGAGGCAATTATTTCCCACTCCTCTGAGACTGTAGCCATGTATATTTAATAATAATTGTGTGGAAGTGTTTGTCTTTATACTGTAATCTGTTTGAGAGCATGCATGCTTCTGTTCATCTTTGTTTCCCTAACACCTGGCACAGTTCCTAACCCAATAAGCTCTCAATAAATGTTTGTTGAATGAATTAGGAATAGACAATCTATTATAATTATTTATCCAAGTATCTATGTTTCACTAGATTGAATTCAAAGATAGGGATAAAGTTTTATTAATTCTGTACTACTATTAGTTCCTGTATAAACTCTTTATGGAGTAGGCACTCAGGACATTGAAGATGAAAAAAGGAATGAGACAGAGTAGAAGGGACTCTGCGTCATTACTGAAGAGTTGTGGCGAAGCTCTTTTCAAAATTACTTTTCTTCCATACTTGTCATTAATGTGGGTAATTCCGCTGTTTGCTTATGTACTGTGTCCTGCTTAAAAGGCTTTTTGATGGAATAATTCCATAATTTAGTAAGAACTCAAGGTCATTTTTAGAAATGCAATTACTTCTTCACAGAATGAGCGGACTGGCTACCTGAGGGGAAAGGAAATGATTACAGTGGGCAAAGGACACGGAAGGAGGAGAACTTTGGGACTTGTGTGATGTTGCTTGAGATCAAACCCCAGTTACATGGTAATGCAGCCTGGTGTATGAGTACTAAAACCAGAAGGGAAATCTATGTGCAACAGGATCTCTGTAGAACTAAAGGGAAAACAAGTAAAATAAGACAACTGTATGAATGAGAGGCTTCATTACTCATCAAAGAAATGAACCAAACTTCCAAATGTATCTTAGGAATGTGGTATGTACTATGGTTATAACAATAAATGGTGAAATGCCATCTCACTACTCCAAGTGATCAATTTCAGTTCACAATTGATCATACTGATAGGTCTAAGAGTCAAAGGGATCACATAAACAAGACTAGTGTCTGATAATACTAACTGATAGAATAAAAAAGGGAGAGAACGATCCAACACAGGAAGCAGGATACACAGCAGACTCATAGAATGGCAGATGTCCTAAACAGCACTCTGGCCTCAGAATCAGCCCTTAAGGCATTCGGATCTGGCTGAAGAGCCCATGGGAGTATTTTAGGCATGGAAAGCCAAGACACTGGCAAAAAACAAACAATCAAACAACAACAACAAAAAAAAACTAAATGAAAGATCTCTGCAAGTGAGATCCCAGTGGAAAGAATGGGCCATCAAAGAAGGAGGCACCTTTCTCCGAAGGGAGGAGAGAACTTCCACTTTGACTATGATCTTGTCTAAATAAGATCGAAGTCGGCAAACTCAAAAAGCTTCCATAGCCTTGGCAACTCATGACTAGAGCCTAGGGAGATTACTGACCCCATAAACAAGAGTGTCAATTTGTTAAGTAAACAACAGGAGTCACTGTGCACTTACTCCTCATGTAGGATCTCTGTCCTTAATGTGTTGTTCAATGTGAATTAATGCTATAACTAGTACTGAAACAGTATTTTACACTTTATGTTCTGTGTGGGTGCAAACTGATGAAATCTTTACTTAATATATACTGAATTGATCTTCTGTATATAAAGATAATTGAAAATGAATCTTGATGTGAATGGAATAGGAGAGGGAGTGGGAGTTGGGAGGGGTGCAGGTGGGAGGGAAGTTATGGGGGGGGAAGCCATTGTAATCCATAAACTGTACTTTGGAAATTTATATTTACTAAATAAAGTTAAAAAAAAAACAATAAATGGTGAATAGTTTCCCAATGCTAAAATGTTTAACAGCCTGTACAGGTGAGCAATATTGAGTAAACTCACAAAAACCCTACATATTTATGGTTAGAAAAGTGATATGAAGGCAGAAATTCCAGGTGTAATGTGCAGAGAACAATGAGACCAACAGTCTGAAAGGAAGGCCAGGGATAACTGTCCTGAGATCTCCTAAGACAACATTTGAGTTAAAAGGGGGGGGGGTGCATTAGCAATGCAGAAAGGAAAGAAAAGGAGGTTTAGATAGAAGTGAGAGCTTATAAAAAGGCTCCAAAGCCGGAAGAGTTGGAGCATTCCTGGAACTAAAAGATTGTAGTAGTTGTATATTAGTGAGAAAGGGGCAAATGTCCTCAATAAAATCATAGGAGAAAGCAAAAGCATGAAACAAATTATTCAGTGCCTGAATACTGAGGAGTTTGGATTTTATTTTAACAGTAAGACATTGAATAATTTAACCAATTCATAAGAGGGATAGCACTCAATTTATTTTTTTTTTAAATCATTGTGGAAGACAGCAAATCAGGAAGCCACACTTCCACAGAAACAGGCAAATAACAACACAGCAATCAAAGTAGCTTTGTAGTAATGCTAGAAATCACTGAAGGATCTGCACAACGTAGTGAATGCCCAACTATGGAAAAAGGCATTGTCAAAAGGTAGGAAATGCTGTGACTTTTCTGTTCACTCGTCCCCTGGTGTGCCAAGTGAGGAAGCAGACTATTTCCTGGTCACCCCTTCAGGATGGGGAAAATGGTAGAATTTGCTTGGAACTTTCTGGCTTGTATGGATTCTGAAGGACTGGCTTGTCTCACCTGACTTGGAGACCATTGATGGGAATAATGGCATAGTTTAGATAGCAGGTTGAAGGTTGCCCAAATCAAAGAAGGAGACACTCTTTTCTGAAGGGAGAGAACATCTTCTTTGCTTATAGCTGTGTCCAAATAACGATGGAGTCTATGGTCACAAAAGGCCTCTATAGCCCTGGCAGCTCACGACAAGAGCCTTGGATTATCACTGATGTCATGAAAAAGAGTGTTAATTGTTAAAGGAACAACAGTAGTCACTGTGCACTTGCTCCCCAGGTAGGACCTCTGTCCCTATTGAATTGCAATATGAGAATCGACTGCAAATTCTTTCCCCAAACTGTACTCTATATATTGGGTGTGGGTGTGAGGGCAAATTGTTGAACTTTATGATTAGCATAGAGATGGTCCTCTATATATAAAGTCATACTAAAAATGATCCATAATGAAGAAGGAGATGGGAGAGGGAATGGGAGGTGGGAAGGAAGTGAGGTGGGGAGCATGAGGGAAAGAACCACTGTATTCCTAAAATTGTATCTATGTAAAAATACATTCATTAAATAAAAAAATACTATTGATTAAAAAAAGACCTATGAGTGCCCAGTGGAGGAATACAATAGAACATTGAAGGCCCTGAGAAAGAGCAGGTGTAGAACTCAAGGGAAATGAGGACATTTGAGAGCAGGCAAGCATAGAAGGGAATCCAGAGAAGAAGAATACCCAAGAAAGGCTGAAAAAGATCTTCAGCATTCAAAGTGGTACGGATAGTAAAGGTCTTCCCCAGCACAGAGCCAGTATCCAAAGAATGGGTGATGTGGCTGATTCTTTCAAAGGCCCAATATTCAATAGGAGATCATGAATCATGCAAAGAGGAAAACTGTGCACGCAGAAGAACAAAACAAATATCCAGAAACTGGTTTCAAGTCTATTTAATAAAGATTATGAGAGCTGGTTCTAGTCCTGGCTACTTTACGTTTCTGGTACAGTTTTCTCCTGATGTGATGAGCGGCAACAGATGATGGCCTAAGTGCCATCTTGGGAACCTGCCACCCAAGTGGGAGACCTGGGTGGAGTTCTACACTCCTGGCTTTATCCTGGTCTAGTTGTGGGCATCTGGGGAGTGAAGCTGCAGATGGAAGGTCTCTTTCTCTCTGTCTTCCATTCTGCCTTTCTAATAAATATTTTTAAAAATTCCATGTCTGGCAAAATTGAATGAGAGACAAGATACTTTCAGATATACAGAAGCTGATGGAGCCAATTGCCATTAGACCTTTATACAAGACACACTAAAAGGAGTTCTTCAGTATTTATCCAGGGTGCAAGATAATAACTCAAAACCATACAAAAATAAATTTCTCTAGAAAAGCTGACTACTTAGACAAATATAAAAGCTATATTGTTTAAATTTGGTTCATAACTCTTTTTATTGCTTTATAATATTTAAAAGGCAGAAACATAAAAATAATCATAATTCTATATATTTAATGGATATAGTAAAGAAGTAGCATTTTTGGTACTCATTTGAAGTTTTCAATTTAAAATAGATTACTAACTTTAAGATGTTATGTGTAAGTCCCATGCTAGTCACAAAGAAATTATCTATAGAATACACACAAAAGGGAATCAAAACATGTCACTATAAAAACTCACAAATCATAAAGGAAAGCAGTAAGGGATGAAAGAAGGGTATGAAGGCTATAAGGCATTCAGAAAATAAATAACAAATGACAATAGTGAGTGCTTCCCTATCATTAACTACTTGAAATCTAAATGGATTAAACTCTCCAATCAAAAGATACAGACTATTAGACTGACAGATGGGTTAATAAAAAATAGGTTCCAGGTATATGTTATCTACAAGAGAATCATTTTATATCTAAGAGCATACATTGGTTGATAGTTCAAAGGATGGTAAAAGATGTTCCAAGAAAAGAATAGCCAAACTAGAGCAGAGGCAGCTATACTAGTATCAAATCAAGTTGTGTTGAAATAAAAAACTGTTCAAGTAAGAAAAAAAGGATAATATGTGAATGATAAAAGGGTGAATTCACGAAGAAGATATAATAACCATAAATATATATACACTAAACATTAGAGCTCCTAACTATGAAATTAAAAATTATCAGAAATCAAAAACCCTATAACAATAGTAGTGGACTTTAATACCCCACTGTCAACAGTGGATGGAAAGAGTGAACAGAAAATCAATAAGGAAAAAGAGAACTTGAATATAACTATAAACAAATTGGACCTAACAGACATACACACTCAGCCCAACAGCATCAAGATATTCTATTTCTCCTTTACAATTGGAACATTCTCTAGGATCAGCCATATGTTAAGCCACAAAGCAAGCCCGAATATATTTTTAAATATTAAAATAATAGAATCTTTCTGATTATAATGGAATTACAGTAAAAATCATAAGCCAAAGAAAAATGGAAAATCCATGTGTATGAAAAATTAAACAAAGCACTGTTTAAACAACCAATGGGCCCAATATGAAAGCAGAGGGAAAATAGAAAATACTTTCAGACAAATGACAATGAAAACACAATATTACCAGGGCTGGCGCTGTGGCACAGCAGGTTAAAACCCCGGCCTACAGTGCCAGCATCCTTTTTATGGGTGCAAGTTCCAGTCCTGGCTGTTCCACTTCTGATCCAGCTCCCGGCTAACACACCTGGAAAAGCAGTGGAGGATGGCCCAAGTGATTGGGCCCTGCACCCACATGGGAGAGATGGAAGAAGCTCTTGGCTCCTGGCTTCTAATCTGCTCAGCTCTGGCCATTGCGCCATTTGGGGAGTGAAACATCAGATGAAAGACCTCTCTCTCTCTCTACATCTGTAACACTTTCAAATAAATAAAATAAATTTTAAAAATGAAAATATAATACACCAAAATTTGAGATGCAATAAAAACCATGTTCAGAGGAAAATGTATTAACTATAAATATATACATTTTAAAATGAAGATTATCAATTGTCTAAGTTACTCTTAAGAAAATATAAAAAGAACAATCTAAATACAAATTACTAAAGAGGAAAACAATAGAGAAAATAAATCAAAAATTTTTTTATAAATGATCAAAAAATTGGCAATCCTTTATCTAGATTGACTAACAAAATGGGTGGGGGTAGCACTGTGGCACAGCAGATTAAAGCCCTGGCCTTAAGAGCTGGCATCTCATATGGGCGCTGGTTCTAGTCCCAGCTGCTCTTCTTCCGATCCAGCTCTCTGCTATGGCCTGGGATAGCAATAGTGGATGGCCCAAGTTCTTGGGCTCCTGCACCCACGTGGGACACCAGAAGAAGCTCCTGGTTCCTGGCTTTGGCTTGGCACAGCTCCGGCCATTGCAGCCATCTGAGAAGTGAACCAGCAGATGGAAGACCTCTCTCTGTCTCTACCTCTCTCTGTAACTCTGTCTTTTAAATAAATAAAATAAATCTTAGGAAAAAAATAAGAGAACATAAATAACTTAAATCAGAACTGAAAGGAGGAACATGGCAACAGTTTTACAAAAATAAAATTGCAAGAGAGTAAAATAACCTATATGAAATGGACAAATTCTTGGAAACAAATAACCTGCCAATGTTGACTCATAAAGACATAAAGAATGTTAAAAGTTTATAACTGATCAGTGCTTGAATCAATAATCTAATAGTATGCATAGATTTTAAAAAATTACACCAAAATAAACTTACTTTTAGTTCCATTTTCCATGAACTTTTTGAAGTATTCTGCAATGTGCTTTTACTGCTCAATGTTATGTATTTGAGAGGAGCTGTTTTGAGTTGCTGAAGTAAAAATTATGATTTGTTGATATTGTTATTTCTATGTAGAGAATATATATAATTATATAATAGTATAAATATAGTACTTCATAAATATCCCTGCTGTGTAGCTTGTATGAATAACATTTCCTAATCAAAGACACTTATAAACTTTATTTCGCAATGATAATTGGATTCTGTTTAGAGCACAAACTGAGAAAATCACTGGTAGAAAGAGGAGCCTCTTTTTTATGAATAATTTATGTTTCTGTCTTAATTCAGATAATTTTTTGGACTGTATCCAATGTCAATTTTCATAAAAATATACCAGTTGCATAACCACTTGCCATTTTGCCTTAGCTTAAGGAGTTATTAGGAATGAATAAATCTTTAAGTTTTTTCTCTCCTTGGAAAAAGTTTCTGAATTACTGAGAGAAAATGCTCCCAAGGATCTTAATGCCCAGGTTCCAGTGACCCCATGTAATGTTGTAGGAACTGGGCTTTCATAACATAATAATTGTCCCAGAATAGTCTATGTATCATTTCCTTTCATCGCTTCTACAGTCTTTCAGAAATAACATTATTTCCTCCTTATTCAAATGAGGTAACCAGAGCACAGAGGTTTCTGAATCACCCAAGGTCACATAGGTACATGAGAGACTTAAAATTTAAGGCCAGGTCTTTCTTCCTCAAGAGGCTGTGTTTTTTCACTCCCTGCCAATGCAGTTCTGTCTTCCAAAAAACTGTAAAAGTCCAGCTTTAGAAAAAAAAAATATCTAGCTTACTTTCTTTTCCCATCTTATTTTCACAAAGAGAGCTGTTTTTTTTATTCTAACTGTTGTTGTTTGTGGGTATTGTGCATTTTTTTTTTTTTGACAGGCAGAGTGGACAGTGAGAGAGAGAGACAGAGAGAAAGGTCTTCCTTTGCCGTTGGTTCACCCTCCAATGGCCGCTGCGGCCGGCGCACCGCGCTGATCCGATGGCAGGAGCCAGGAGCCAGGTGCCTTTCCTGGTCTCCCATGGGGTGCAGGGCCCAAGCACCTGGGCCATCCACTGCACTCCCTGGCCACAGCAGAGGGCTGGCCTGGAAGAGGGGCAACTGGGACAGAATCCGGTGCCCCGACCTGGACTAGAATCCGGTGTGCCGACTAGAACCCGGTGTGCCGGCGCAGCAAGGCGGAGGATTAGCCTAGTGAGCCGCGGCGCCGGCCGGTATTGTGCATATTTTTATTGGCTGGGATTACATCTCTGTTTGAGGGTTAAAACACTGTATGCCACAAGGCCAGTGCTGTGCCTTAGTGGGTAAAGCCACCGCCTGGAGTGCCAGAATCCCACATGGGCACCGGTTTAAATCCCAGCTGCTCCACTTCTGATCCAGCTCTGTTATGACCTGGGAAAGCAGTGGAGGATGGCCCAAGTCCCTGCACCTGCGCGGGAGACCCAGAGGAAGCGCCTGGCTCCTGGCTTCAGATTGCCACAGCTTCGGCTGTTGCAGCCATCTGGGGAGCGAACCAGTGGATGGAAGACCTCTCTCTCTCTCTGTCTCTTCCTCTCTATAACTTTGCCTTTCAAATAAATAAATCAAATCTTTAAAAATAACTGAGTGCCTTTTCAAACTGATATTGGATAGTTCTATCTGCAGTTATCAGCTTTTCCAGAATGTTGTCTTCATCTTCTCCCTGTCATATACATACATATTTATTTCATTGTTTAGCTCTTTGTTTCCATGGCATTTTCCTATCCTTCCATCCCTAACTCCTTCATTGTCCTGATTCAGCATAGCTTATGGTATTAGTAATATCTACTCTTTATTCTTATTTTGTAAATTTAGTATCAAATTAGAAAACAAATATATAAAGGCTTTTTGAGGTATGATGAGCTATCCAAGTGAGAGAGCTCTAGAAATCTACATGGATGCCAGGCAGCCTATGATGGGGTTACAGTCCCATAAACCCATTATAAGCTGGAAAATGCCATAAGTAGAAATGCATTGAATCCATCTAACCTACCAAGCATCCCAGCTCAGCAAACAATGCACTGTAGTGCATTGGCTGTTTTCCCTCATGCTGTTGTTGTTGATTAGGAGCTGCACCCACTGCCACTGCCAAATTTCAGAAGAGGGTATCAGATATTGCTAGTCTGACATTCAAAGTGTGAAGTACACTTGCTAGCAAACGGGTATCCTTTACACCATTGAAAAGTTGAAGAATTCTAATCATTGTAAGTTGGGGACTGTCTGTATTTCAGTCAGAAGGTTAAGGCCACTCTTACCTTCAAGAGAATGACCAGTGATGCTGGTGAGCAGAAGAGACACATTTTTCTGTTTTATTCAGTCTTTGAAAAACTATGTTCTTTGCTTTGTTCCCTGTAAATAAAAAGGAAAGAATGAGAATGTGGACAAGGCTTTCATTTGCATACAGAATAGCAAAAATTTAAGCAACTATTACAATCATGTATTTTTACTTCAGCCGACATTTTTTCTTGCAGTTGAATTTGGTGAATTTTACTGTATAAAAATTATACCTCAATAAAATTGAGTTTAGGGGCCGGCGCCATGGCTCACTTGGTTAATCCTCTGCCTGCAGCGCCGGCATCCCATATGAGCACCGGATTCTAGTCCCATTTGCTCCTCTTCCAGTCCAGCTCTCTGCTGTGGCCTGGGAAAGCAGTGGAGGATGGCTCAAGTCCTTGGGCCCACACTCACATGGGGGACCAGGAAGAAGCACTCACATGGGGGACCAGGAAGAAGCACCTGGCTCCTGGCTTCGGATTGGCATAGTTCCAGCCATAGCGGCCATTTGGGGAGTGAACCAACAGAAGGAAGACCTTTCTCTCTCTCTCTCACTGTCTAACTCTATCTGTCAAAGAAAAAAAAAAAAAGTTGCATTTAGAAAGTGTTAAAGGTTAATACATACCAAAAGGTAACCATTTTACAAATCCTTAAGGTGTATGTATCAAACATAAATGGTACTAATATCACAAAAAAATGAGATAATTAGATACTTTATGCCTTCTGATGAAAGAATGTACAACTAACTAGAGAGAGAGACTTGCATCTGATGAAGCATCTAGATCCAGCAACTAATTTCCAAGTAATACAGCAATGAGAAGATACATTGAATTAAGCCAGACTGTAAGAATCTTTCTAGAAGAAATAGCCTTCATCGGGTAAGGAAAACATAAAGCAAGATGAAGGGAAACCTACAAGTCAAAAGAGACTTAAGCACGTGGCATATTGAAAAGAGATTATTAACTCCTCATCTTCTTGGTCATCATGGTTTTGCCTGAATAACTTTACTGTGTCCTTCTATCTTGGGAGTGGTTACCTGCTCCACATATTGACACTGGCCTCAAGCACACCTATTTATCTCTGCTAACATCTTACATCAGTATGGTATATTTTTAATTGATTCGTTAACCCACTTTATACATTATAATTAACGGAAGTCCATAACTAACTCAGATTTCCTTAGTTTTTACCTGCTATCCTTTTTCTGTTCCAAGATTCCAGCCAGGAACTGAACAGCTAAGTTAATGGATGGCAGATGGTAGAAACCAAGTTCATTACTGCTGGGTAAAGCAGCAGAAGATGGCCCAAGTGCTTGGGCTCCTGCACCTGCATGGAAGACATGGAAGAATTTGAGGAGTGGAAGATTCTCTCTCTCTCTCTCTCTCTCTGCCTCTGCCTCTGCCTCTGCCTCTCTCTAACTCTGCCTTTCAAATAAATAAAATACATCTTTTACCTCTCTGTAACTCTGCCTTTTTTAAAGATTTACTAAAGAATATTTTAAGATTTTTTTTAAGAAGAAGCTAGGAGCTTCTTCCTGGTCTCCCACATGGGTGCAGGGACCCAAGGACCTGGGTTGTCTTCCTCTGCTTTCCCAGGTGCATTAGCAGGGAGCTGGATCAGAGCAGGGGGAACTTGAACTGGTGCCCATATGGAATGCTGGCATTGCAAATGGTGACTTAGTCCATTAAACCACAATGCAGGCCCCACAAGATACATTTTTAATCTAAGATCACCCTATTACACTATGCCACTTCATGTGCACTATTGTTGCCCCATTCTCCCCTCCTGTCTCTTGTGACACTGATGTCATTCGTTTCACCTATTTGCCATGATTACTCAATATATTGCTCCCATTATCAATTTAAAGTCCAATATTAGTTCAAGTTCAAATAAGAAAATTAAATACTTTGTTTTACCTTAATCCCCTCTTTCTGTTGATGGACCCATCTTTATGACACATATAATTTTCTTTTTGCCCAAAGAACTTCTTTTAGCATTTCTTACAGGATATGTCTGCTGGTGATGAATTGCTTCAAATTTTGATTACCTGTCAGTTTTGAAGTATAATTTGCTGCAAGAGAATTCTGGGTCAATGTTTTTTTTTCTTTCAGCACTTTAAATATTTTGGTCTTGCTTGCATAGTTCTTAGTAAGCCTACTATAATTCTTATCTTTATTCTGCTATAGGTAATTCCCTACCCCACACCTCCAGTTTCATTCAAATTTTTCTTTGTCTTTGGTTTTCTGCAGTTTGAATATGATATGCTCAGGTGTGGTCTCGGAAGGAGGGGCTTTTGTATAAGGGTGAAATAGATGGAGCTTAGCCTCTCTGTCTATTTGATTCTCTTTCTTTCATTCTCTCCTACAGGTTTTGATCCCAAGGATACTTAATAATCATGCTGTATGCTAATTTTATTCTCAGAATATGATTTCCAGGGAACCCGGTCTGCATCATGTCCTGAGAAATACACAAGACCTTGGATTTCAAGGTTGATGCTATGATGGATGAGATTTTGGGGGAGGACTTGTGACAGGGGATTGTATTTCAGCATGCCTCTGGGGTTATAAATAATCCTGACCATGAATGTAGGCTATGGTGGATTGTCAAGATGGCCCCAGTTCTTCACCGATCCTGGTCTTCATGCCCTTTGGCAGGTTACATTGCAGTGGTCTTCCATTTTGGTACTCCACTTGATCATGTGACTTGCTTTATCCTAAGAGGAAACAGAAGTGACAGTGTGCTGATATGAGTTAAAGCCTCAGAATGTCTTGCATATTTCCTTTTGTGTCTGTACTTTAGACTTCTAGGAACTGAGAAACATGTGGAGCACACCTAAGTGAAGTCATCAAATCATTCAAGCTGAAACCAGCAAAAATTAGATGGAAGCCAGCGGATGGAGACAACTGAGCAAGATCTGTCAAAATCAGCAGATGCACCAGCTGACCCCTCCAGACCCATGTATTTTTTATTTTATCCACTGTAGTGGGTTTAATGGTTGGTTGTTACGCAGCATCATTATAGCAATAGACAACTGATAGAAAAGGAGACAAAACTATGATGTATGTATATGCACTCATGGATCATAAAGGTATTCAGGTGAGTTCTTAAAAATAGAATACTGACAAAATCTGAGGAAAAGAGGGTTGTGTTTGGAAGAGGACGTATGGGGAGCTGCTCAAGTGGCTGAAAAATTTCTATTTCTTGATCTGATTGTTACTTCTAATTCATTAAGCCACATATTTTGTATTATAAGTTGCACATAATAGTTTTATATGTTTATATGATACTAAGTGACATTACACTTTATGAATATAATGGGAAATAATGAAATCAAGATAATATATATCCATCACCTCAAATACCACTTTTCATAGTGATCAGATTTGAAATGTACTCTTAATTTTGAAATGTACTATATGATGTTTGCTATACTTGTCTAAATGAAGTTTTGTACCTTTGAATTAAAAAAAAAATTCTGTTTATTTGAGATGGGGAGGAGAGACAGAGAGAGATTGATTGATTTTCTATTTACTGTTTTCCCTGTCCAAAGGCCTGCAGTGGCCAGAGCTGAGCCAAGCTTAAGCCAAGAGCTAGGAACCCCATCTAGGTCTCTCACATGGGTGGCAAGGACCCAAATACTGTGATATCACCTGCTGCCTCCCAAGGTATACATTGGTAGGAAGCTGGAATCCGGAGTGGAGCTGGGACTTGAATCCAAGCACTCTGATATGGGATGCCAATACCCCAAACAACATCTTAACCCTAAGCTAAATGCCTAACCCTGCTTTGTGCCTTGTGATCTTTCCATTCTCTCGACTCTAATTTCTGTACCCACCATTTTACTCTGTTTCTATGAGTTTTTTTTTTTTAGAGTTTCCATGGTAAGTGAGAAAATATGGTATTTGTCTTTCAGTGATTTGTGTATTTTGCTTTGCATGTTGTACAAGTCTATCCATTGTTGCAAATGCCAATTTTTTCTTTTTTTTAAGGCTTACTAGTATTCCATTTGGGCATATATACACTGCATTTTTAAAATCCATTTGTTTGATAGAAACTTGCTGATTCCATAACTGGGTTATTATGAATAGTACTGCAACAGAATATGAGAGTGTATACATTTCTTTGACAAACTAATTTAAAATATTTTGAGTAACTACCCAGAAGTGGAATTTCTCATCATGAGATAATTCTATTTTTAGCTTATTGAGCAACTTTCATACCATTCTTGGTAATAATTTGCATTGCCACCAACAGTGTACACGGTTCCCCTTATCTCCACATTCTCTTCAATGCTTATCATTTGTCTTTAAAATAAAACTTACTACTGATAATAGTCATTCTAAAGGGTAACAGGTAGTATCTCATTGTAGTTTTAATTTGCATTTCTCTAAACATTAGTAATGTTGAACATTTTTTCATACTCAGGTTCAATATCCACTCTTCAAATTTAATAGGACCAGGACTATTTCAAATTTTAGAGATTTCAGATTTTGGAATGTTTACCAAGACTTTACTAGTTGATCATTCCTAACCTGAAAATTCAAAGTCTAAAATGCTCCAAAATAAAAAACATTCTGAGCATTGTTGGTGTCAATGTTCAGAATATTTTGAATTCTGCAACATTTTGCATTTTGAATATCTGAATTAGGGATATTCAACCTGTATTTTTTGTCCATTTATGTGTCATCCTTTGGGAATGAATATTTCTGTTTCCTTCTCTGCTTTTTTTTTAAGATTTATTTATTTAGCTTGAGCATGTCCCGAATTGCACATCTCTTCCCTCTCTTATTCCCACTCTTATATTTAACAGCGATCACTTTTCAGTTAAGTTTCAGCACTTAAGAATAATTGTGTATTGATTACAGTATTCAACCAAAAGTATTAAGTAGAATAAACAAAAAAAATACTAAGAGGGATAACATATTAAGTTGTTCATCAACAGTCAGGGCGAGGGCTGATCAAGTCACCATTTTTCATAGTGTTCATTTCACTTTAACAGGTTTCCTTTTTGGTGCTCAGTTAGTTGTCACCGATCAGGGAGAACATGTGATATTTGTCCCTTTGGGATTGGCTTATTTCACTCAGCATAACTTAACCTCAAACGGTAGAGTTAGAAACATACCAGGGGATTCCAATTCAATCCCATCAAGGTGGCATGTACCAATGCCATCTCACTAGTCCCAGTGATCAATTTCTGTTCACAATTGATCATAATGATAGGACTAAGAACCAAAGGGATCACATAAACAAGAATAGTGTCTGCTAATACTAGCTGATAGAATGAAAAAGGGAGAGAACGATCCAACATGGGAAGTGAGATACACAGCAGACCCATAGAATGGCAGATGTCCTAAACAGCACTCTGGCCTCAGAATCAGCCCTTAAGGCATGCAGATCTGGCTGAAAAGCCCATGAGAGTATTTCAGGCATGGAAAGCCAAGACACTCTGGGGAAAAAAAAAAAAAACCCAAAAGCTAAATGAAAGATCTCCACGAGTGAGATCCCAGTGGAAAGAACAGGTCATCAAAGAAGGAGGTACCTTTCTCTGAAGGGAGGAGAGAACTTCCACTTTGACCATGGCCTTGTCTGAATATGATCAGAGTCGGTGAACTCAGTGGGCTTCCATAGCCTTGGCAGCTCATGACAAGAGCCTGGGGTGATTACTGAGGCCATAAACAAGAGTGTCAATTTGTTAAGTTAACAACAGGAGTCACTCATGTAGGATCTCTGTCCTTAGTGTGTTGTACATTGAGATTTAATGCTATAACTAGTACTCAAACAGTATTTTTCACTTTGTTTCTGTGTGGGAGCAAACTGTTGAAATCTTTACTTAATGTATGCTAAACTGATCTTCTGTATATAAAGAGAATCGAAAATGAATCTTGATGTGAATGGAAGGGGAGAGGGAGTGGGAAAGGGGAGGGTTGCGGGTGGGAGGGACGTTATGGGGGGGAAGCCATTGTAGTCCATAAGCTGTACTTTGGAAATTTATATTCATTAAATAAAAGTTAAAAAAAAACTTTTAAAGAAAAAAAAAGATTTATTTATTTATTTGACAGCTATAGTTACAGACAGTGAGAGGGAGAGACAGAGAGACAGGTCTTCCATCCATTGGTTCACTCCCCAAATGGCTGCAACAGCCGGAGCTGTGCCGATTTGAAGCCAGGAGCCAGGTGCTTCATCCAGGTCTCCCATGTGGGTGCAGGGGCCCAAGGACTTGGGCCATCTTCTGCTGCTATCCCAGGCACATTAGCAGGGAGCTGAATTGGAAGAGGAGCAGCCGGGATACAAACCGGCGCCCATATGGGATGCCGGTGCTGCAGGCGGGGGATTAACCTACTGTACCATGGCGCCAGCCCCTCCTTAACTGTTTTTAAATTGGATTTTATTTCATTGTAGAATGATCTGTGTTCCTTTTATTTTTGTATATTAACCCATCATCCGAGGTATGGCTTGCTTGCAAGTATTTTTTCCAATCAATCAGTTGTGTTTTTATTCTTAATTGTTTTCTTTGTTGTGCAAAAGGTTTTTTTTCTGATATAATCCCAGTTTTCTATTTTTGCCTTTGTTGCCTTTGTTTTTGAAGTCAAATCTATAAAAACCATGGCCAAAACCAATGCCATATTGCCCCCCCCACTATGTGTTTTCTTCTAGTGTTTTATATTTTCAGGTTTTATGCTTGAGTCTTCCACACATTTTGAGTCACTTTTTGTTTATAGTATGAGAAGAGGTTTCAATTTCACTCATCTACACAGGGATTTCTACTTTTCCCAACACCACTATCAAAGAGACTTTGCCTCACTGGTGCCTTTGTAATAAATCAACTGGAAATACATGTGTTGATTCATTTCTGAGATCTGTAGTCTGTTGCATTGATTGATGTATCTACTCTTATGACAGCATCATGCTGTTTTATTTACTATCACTTTGTAGTATAAAGTCAGGATGTGAGGTACATCTCCTCTCTCTCTCTCTCCCCTCATATTTATATATGTATAAAGCTTCTGATGGCCTTGACTATTCCAGACTTTTATGTTTCCACACAAATTTCTGGGGTTTCTTTATATTTCTATATAAACAGATACTTAACAATATTAATTCTTCCAATGTATGAACATGGATTATCTTTATTTATATCTTCTTCAATTTCTTGTATTAACATTTCAGTATACAGAACTTTCACTTCCTTGGTTAAATTTATTCCTAAGTATAGGGATAAATAAATCTTTTTGTAGCTAATATTAAATGCCATTGTTTCTTTGATTTATTTTTGAGAAAGTTCACTTTAAGAAGCTACACACTTACAAATGGTTAATAATTCATAAATGGGTAATTAATTGTGGAGAGACAGAACCACACACACATACACACAGAGAGAGAGAGAGAGAGAGAGAGAGAGAATGTGTATTTCCATGTACTATTTCACTCTTCAAATGGCTGCAATGGCTGGGGCTGGGCCAAGTCAAAGCTGAAAGCTGGAATTCAATCCAGGTCTCCTATGTGGATGACAGGACAAACTGCTTGAACCATCACTATTGCTCCCCAGGGCCTCTGTTAGCAAGAAACTGAAATCAGGAGTCAGAGACTGATATGAAACCCAGGAAGCTGGATATGGAATTCAGGTATTCTAACTAAGCTAAAACTGCTAGACCAAGTGGCTTCCCTTATAAAGTTTTTCAATGTGGACCTTCTATACTATTTTCATTTTACAAT